GTACTTGGCCATGGGTTGGTTTTATTGTGTTCTTGTATTCACATATTAATACGAGCTGGGAAGAGATTCCTGTAAATTCGTGTGTGCCTTTACTTTTCTTATTGCCTAAAATTTATTCTAAGTCCCAAACATCCTAAAATAATTCTAAGTGTTGGAAAGGCTGAAGTTAAGGCTGGGCTTGGCTGCCGCACAGTGGTGAACCTCGGGCAGAATTCGAGTGACATATATATATATATATATTATAAAAAATATATACTTTTTGACTATTATTTTGAGAACGGTTATACAACGTCATTTTTTCTTTATTTATTCAGGCACATTAGACGTATGATCACTAAACTTATGAAAATAATCCCGATAAAACTATATGGTATAGCTATTCTAAAAAATAATAGTCGGTAAAATACATATTTTACACATAATCAGTTTATATACTAGCTAGTGGAGTAATTATTTTTTGCCGACCATCCAAATATGTAACTTGCCCCAATAATCTACCAAAGTTACTTTTTTGGACAAAAAAATCACCCAACTAGTGATTCAAAAAATTTAAAAAATAAAATCATTTGGTATGCCATATCATATTAAAAACCTGTCTTTTAAGATAAAACCCATTTAACTTATATTCCTTATATCCATTTAACCCACGAGATAAGAAAATAGGTTTACTTGACATGCTACTGCACCCCACTTCCTTGTCGTTTCTGGCTTTGTTCATATGGGCGTTGAAAACATTTTGAAGTCCTTTCTGTTTCAAATTGGTTAACCTGGCTGAATTTTCTCATGGAGTTGTATTCAATTTCTCAATTCTGTTTCGATCTATTTGATCTTGTGCAAGATAGTGAAATCCTCTTTTATTTCCCTTGATAATCACACATGTCCAAAAGGTGCCTCATAAAATTACTGAATGAGATTATTGTAGTCTGTAGATCAAGTTGACAAAAGTTTGTTGATTGAAAATTGTCTAGTTAACTACTAGCGTGATAGAGAGAGCTGCACTAGCTTTGTCTCTATGATGAAGAAATAACTTGAATTTATAACAATATAATCATAAAGATTATATACTAGTTGCAATAGCTTCAAGTCATGCATGTAGGAAATTTTGAAATTACCCCAAATTCTTGTTAGTTTGGGTTTTGCATACAGCATACTCTAGTAAGACCCGAGAATTTATCGAGTTTATAGCCTATTTGACCGAGCTTCTAAAATCAACTTATTTTAAAAAGTGATTTTTCTCAAAAAGTACTTTTGATGAGAAACGGTTTGTTTTTTAGCTACTTAATTTAAAAAGCACTTCTGAACAGAAATTAATGTTTGACCAAGCTTTTAAAAAATATTTTTAAATGTATTTTTCTCAAAAGTATTTTTCAGAAAAATATTTTTGGGGAGAAGCTACTTTTTTTGCTTCTCCAAAACCACTTCTGCTTCTACTCAGAAGTATTTTTTTTCCTTCTAAAAGATTTGTCAAGCACTTCAACTTAAAAAAAAAAAACTTTTGAAAAAAAGTATTTTTAACTTTGGAGAAGCTTGACCAAACAAGCTATTAGTCTGCTACGATGCTAAATCCATTTTAAAATATGTAACCACTTCAATTACTTTTTTTTTAATAGAAAAGAATAGTAAGTTTGACATATATTACTCTTTGTTCATCGAATGTAATAGTTACATTGTGTATTTAAACGAAGTTACTTGAGCTCAAGCATGTGGGTGTTGAGTGATGTTTTGGGTTTATATCTTTCTGGTGTCGTTTAAGTGGATCCAGTACTTTTTTATCAGGTGTGTTAAATGGGTATAAGGGACATGAGTTTTATCATGAAAAAATAGGTTTCTAATATGACATGGCATGTCAAATTAAGTTATTCCAAAAGAAACCAAGGAATTAACTTATCCATATGGATCTAAACCACTGTTACAGAATAAGGTTTTGGTTGAGAGAAAGTGTAATATGCTCTGTGTCACTGACAGTTCACGACTATTTTCACGTCGTTGTTGCCCATTCGTCATTGTCATCTTACTGAGAATAACAGGTAAAGGATTGGCACATATATTCTGGGAATTTAATTTTAATATACTTGTAAGTTGTAATATAATATAAGCTAGGCATGTATCAAAGTCCAAATTGGTTTTTGGATGGATATAATATAATGATTATTATTATTATTATTATTATTATTATTATTATTATTATTATTATTATTATTATTATTATTATTATTATTATTATTTCCCAATAAGTTGTTTTTTACAATTTCTTTCAAAGTTAAATAAGAACCACAAAGAACTCCTCTTAAGAAATGCCATAACAAAATTTTCGAAGTCCATAAAGGGAAAAAGATGGGAATGAAGATAAGTACCATGCCAAAAGCTTTCAGCCGTCTTCCAAAGTAACAAGAAAGTATGACTAGACTTATGCAAGGTATGATATTTTTTTATTTATTTTTTTTGTTTTATGTGATACTCTTTTATAATCGGGCATTAGCATGTCAAGAAAAAATAATATATTTTTATATTTGAAAATAAATTAATTTTAAGCTTCTCATTTATCATTAAATATGATTTTAAGCGATAAGAATCTCATGGTATGTTTTAGCCCACATATTTTAAAATATTTTTTTCTTTTTAAATTTCGTATTCAGACAAATACCGACATACAAATTAAAACGGGAAGGAGTGTTATGTAATTACTTAACAATTAATTCTCGAGTCTTACAAAAATAAAAAGGGAAAATGGTACTTCCTTCCATCCTTTTATTATCGTTTAAAATTTGGTACGCTATTTAAAAAATATTTAATAGCATTAATTATTAGAGATATTTGATTAAATTATATATATATTTCTTAAATAAGTAATTAATGATTATAGGCTCTTTTGAAGCAATAAAAAGGGCAAAATATAAAATTGACCAGTCGGCTGAAACTAATTATATTTGGTATAAGTATATAAAATATGTATATTATACGCATATAATACACATATATACAAAAATATATAATTTTATCGGCTATTATTTTTTAGAGCGGCTAAAACTTATATATTTATTAATAAAATAAATAACAACAAATCCAGTAAGTTCCTATTTTTTATAGAAGTAGAATTTTAAATAATAATCAATACATTCTTCTTTCGTTTGAATGTACGGGGCAATATTTATTTATTAATCCAATCCAGAAAAAATCAGTCTTCTAGAATTAGTTTAACTTAAATTCCCCATTGTACGCTTAACTACAAGTTTTTAGAGTCATAGCTATGTCATATTTAAGATTATAAATTTAAAAAATTTTATAGTCATAAAAATATTATAATGTGTTTAATTTACAAATTTCAAAGTTTTCATTACTTCTTAAACTCATCTTCAAACAAATTATGCCACATAGTTGAAATAGAGATAAGTACTTTATTGTTTTTAGTTTATGTGGTAATATTTTCTTTTAGTTCATCCCAAAAATAATAATAATTTTTTAATTTTAAAAATAATTTAATTTTAAAATTTTTATGTCCTCTAAATGAGATAATTTACAGCGACATAAATATCTAGAAAGCTATTTTTAACAACTAAGCTAGCGTTTGGCCATAGATTCCTAAATTTATTTTGAAAATCTGATTTGGGTGAAGTTTGGTTTGAAGATAAAGATGTGTTTGGACATCTGTTTTGGGTGAAATTTGGTTTGAAAAAATATGAAACATAACTTATACCCACAAGTTTTAAAAACTATCATAAATACCCAACGGTACCATTATCAATAACATTCATTATATTATCGCAAACCATAGTCCTGAACATAAATAAATTTGATACAAAATTATCATTTTTATAATGAACTACATGATACACTATCAGATGACCGAGAAGACGAAGCAACATCATTACAAAATAATAAATGGTGGGCTCTTTTATATAAAAATAAAAATTTGGGATAATTTTTAAAAAATATAATAGTTTGAGATTTCGGATTTAAGATTTGACCAAAATGTAAGTAAAATTTATAGTTAAATATGTATTTGACAAATAAAATCCAAATTTATTTTGACAAAATCTATGGAACCAAATATCTAACTTCTTCCCCTTAAATCACAACTAGAGGGTAAAAAATTACAAGTGGCGCGTGGTGGAGAAAGTAGGTCCCATTGCAAGAAGGCAGCGCACTGAGATTGGACTTTGTGAGCGAGAGGACTAACTTTTGCAGACAAAAATATCCACAAAACATACGCACAAAGATACAGAGGTCTCCCCCAATCTTCTCCCACTGCCCAACGTTCAGTAGATTTTATTCTCTTCATCAACTACGCTTCGAATTTCGAGTTGGGTCTTCTTCTGATATTCGATTTTCTGCCTAAAGTCAAGGCAAGAAAAATCATCTGTTTTACCTACCTTCATGTTTTGTGCTTCATTTAATTCTTGCTTCATTTGTGATTTTGAGCTGAATTTCATTTGTTCTGGTCGATTTGGGTGTGTTGCTATGTTTTCCTCCCATTTTCCCCTTTTCTCACAGTTTGGCTAAGTTCCAATTTCTTTTGTTTAATTCTTGTTTTAAGTTCGAATAATGGCGTAAACTCACTGATTGGCTTGATTATTGTTGCTGATTGCTATGCTCTTGGTTCTATTTCTTTTGATTCCAGACTATTTTCTCTACTAAGTTTCCCTTCATTTAAATTTTTAGTTATGGCGGCTCTTGAGGGTTCTTTTCTTCTGTTAGATGTTGCAGATTGTTTTTTTTTTACGAAGGTGGTGTCGGGGGGTCAACGTGCCCACTGATAAAGAAATGAACTCTACCCTAAAAGCTAGCTCATGAGGTAAGGATTGTCCGAGACCAAGTAGACCAAGAAACCTATATCCCACCAATTTGACTCTACATATGGAACTCGTGGACAATATAAGATGGGGTCCAACATTGGGTAAACAATGAATCGAGATGAGTCTGGCTTTGATATCATGAAGAGTTTGAAATGGGTACCTGCTACGTCCCACCAGTACCGAGTAACTCTTGTCCATTGAAACTTAGGCTGAATGGAAGAAATCAACTAGTGATTTATTGCCCCTGATGGGATTTGAATCTGAAATCTCATGGTTCTCCTCTCACTTTACTAATCACTAGGCTAGACCCTTGGGTACGTGTTAGACGTTAAAGATTGCATACAACGTTAAAGATTGCATCTTTTTACTTTTACTTCTTTCCGATGAGAGTGATACCTGTTTGGAATTGTGCTTCTACCGTGGATGATCCCCACTCGCATATCCATTTGAATTAGTAAATTCTGAATTGTGTTTTCATGTGACCTTATCTAGAGAATGTTGCCTAGTAGGGTTAATGAGTGGACAAGTTAGAGGTTTCACTTTGGATGCAATTGCTACTTCTTGTAAGATGGTAAGTACTCGTTGTTGTCAAGGGCAAAAAGTGCAGAAAAGCACCAAGGCCTTTAGGGTTTTAAATAGAACACGCAACTAAAACGAGTTTTTGCAGTGAAGAAATGTGCTTATGAAGAAACAAAAAAGTACAGATAATGCAAGAGAAACAACAATAAACACAAAGAATGGATAAGTGAAATACATGAATTAAAATCGCGTAAATCAAGTGCAAAAACCACTTAAATTTATGATTCGGATGCTAAGATGCAATTTTATGTCTCTAATCCTATTCCTAATCGTAGCTTCATTCATGACATTTTCTTATCAATTAATCACTCTGCCGACTATTTTGAGGTTTAATGTCGCCCTCCTCAAGATTGAGTCATAGGCTATGAGACGCATGTTTTGATGCCTGCACTAAAGGGCCACATAAGCCAAGGGAAAGGGCTCAATTTGTGTTGCACCTAGTTTCAGGGTTTGTATGCATCAAATGAGCCTTTAACAACATTGAATTCCAAAATCTTTTGAATCTCGTGATTACATGCTCACACTGGAAAGCAGAACTAAAATTGACTTGGCACTCCTTGATATCAAACTTATCTTTTGATTTCAGGTTAATATTTGTGGTCAAATTGATGGATTCCCCACAGTCCATTGTTTCACCATTCAAGGGTTCCTCCACTTTTGTTGAGCCCGAGAAGCAGAGCAGTGAGTTATTCATAAAGAACCGTGGTGGTCTATCCCAGGGAGTTTCTGCTCATAGAGAGGAGGCTGCAGTCTGCAACTTGGAGGGCTCCATTGGAGTTCTAGATGTGTATGTACACCAGGCCAGAGACATCCATAACATCTGCATTTACCATAAGCAAGACGTTTATGCAAAACTTTGTCTTACCAGTGATCCTGAAAATGCAGTCTCCACACAAATTATTAATGGTGGAGGGCAAAGTCCAGTATTCAATGAATATCTAAGGCTCAAAGTCCGTACAATAGAATGCTCCGTGAAATGTGAGATTTGGATGATGAGCAGGGTGAGGAATTATTTGGAAGACCAACTGCTAGGCTTTGCACTGGTCCCGCTAACTGAAGTCCTCGTTAAAAATGGAAAGCTAGAAAAAGAGTTTACTCTTTCATCAACTGATCTCTTCCACTCTCCAGCAGGATATGTGCAGTTGTCCCTTTCTTATAGTGGAACTTCACCTGAAGTGATTGCGATTCCTGCATTGCCTGAATTTGTTGACACTCGTGCATCTCTGCTGGACGCTAAAGCAACTGAGTCGCTTCCTGATGAATTTGAAAAAATTGAATTCCCTGATCCCAAGATAGTAAATGAAAATCATCTTATGGTCTCTGAGTACTTTGGTATACCATGCACTGATCTTGACTCTCAAAGCTCAGATAGCTTGGTCTCTACTGATACAGCAAATCATCTCAGTCCAGAAGTAGAAGTTCGTGTTGAGGAAAATTTTCCAACAGGAATTACTAATCCAGACCAATATCCTAAGCGTGATTCCCCTCCGAGCAGTTCAACCATTGAGTCTCCGTCAGTCTTGCATCCTGCAAGCTCTCTGTCTTCAGAGCCCTGGGAAGAATCAAAATCTCCAGTTCAAGAATACACTTCCGCTTCTAAAGAATGCGCCACCGTGAAAAGAGTAAATTGTGGTGATGCTGACAGCAACTCGTCAGAAATCAAGCCTGGTAGCACATTTCCAAAGCCAGTAGTCACAGTAGACATTGAGGCAGAGCAAAAGGTTGTGCAACAGGAAATAGTGGACATGTACATGAAAAGCATGCAGCAATTTACTGATTCACTGGCAAAAATGAAGCTTCCGTTGGATATTGGAAATGGACCGACCAGTTCTGGCAGTTCGAGTTCAGATCAGAAATTAGAAACACCCAAGAGCACTGGCTCTCGAGTGTTTTACGGAAGCAGAGCTTTCTTCTGAGATCTTGTGACGATGATTACACTACTCAAATGACCTCTAGAGTTTAGGAAACAAGACTGCAGGTATTCTGTGTATTGTGGTATTCAGTCATTTTATAAGGGGAACTAGAATGATGGAAACTACTTGACTTGGCTCTGTAAAAGCATTATTCTATTTCTGTTGTTTCTAGCTAATTAAATCTGTGCGCATGAGTCGCCTATTATATTGGAAAAGTTTGCCTAATTAAGCCGAGGTTTCTGACCATTCGGCGATGCATCTCCAGTGTGGTGGATACGGAGTCTAGTCTAGTAGCATAAATATGTGGTGGAAGAATCTGAAAATGAAATCTCCCTAAATATTTACTGAATTAATAAAAAGTATCACCAATCCTCTCATATTTACTTGTTTAAAAGTCGAGACGGAGCACAAAAGGGCATTGCTCCCTTTTCGTCAAGCAGAAGCAGAGGGTCTCTTTCCTTTTTGATCAATTGAAGCAAGAATTTAACCTCCCACTTTTCCAGCTTGCATGGCTACAAATTTCACAAACTTTCTGGACGCATTTTTTCTTGGCTACCTATTATTTGTCACTAACACAGCACAACAAAGACGAAACATTTACGGTCAATTTTGTCCTAACTACTACTTGAATGATTGTTAAATTACAAAAAACTGGAATCTTAAGGTTTATGTTACCACTTAGGTATTACCCATGATAATGCTTTGTGGTCTAATAGCTCATCTCTCTGTAGGCAGATGCATATTCATTATGTTGATTCCTGAGAAGTGCAATTCTGAAATACAGTATCATCTTGATAAAAGCACAAAAACCAACAAAACGTAAGAACCATCGTCTTATCTATCGAAATCTTTACAAGTCAAAACACCATGACTAACAAGTGTTAAAATGAAAACAGTATCTATTTCATCTGCAACATAGTTACTTAAAAATGAAGCCTCAAACATAGAGCGCTTGTACAATCTGCAACGAGTACTGAATCAGAAAATTCAGTAGTTATTAGAGAGAACCTAGGTTCGTATCCCCTATTGTTTCACAGTAGTAAATCAAAAGGGATGTTGAATACAATCTGAGAGAAAAACAAACCCCAGAAAAAAGGGGAACTACGAGAACAGACACCAGCAGCTTTGCCAGTCACTACACCGGACAAAAAGTAAAAAAGAAAAAAAAGAATATAAAAATTATAACTCTACCTCTCAACGTAGTTCCAATCTTATCTGCTTTGTTGTGGATGCACAACACATCAACTGCAATGGATGGTGTCAAGTATAATCTGATATACATATACGAGCCTAAATTACTTTCGAACAATTGAAACCTCAAACCATCACAAAATCCCTTTAAAAACCGCTCTTTGAATATGTATACTTTATCGGACAGGCCCCTCGTTAGCTCTATATGATCAGCTATAGCTGAAATGCATAATTTTTGGAATATGTATTAACATTCACAGCCCACTTGATTTTCTGAAGGCACTTCTAAGAATCTTCAGATATCCAAATAAAGAAATCTCCTACGCCGCAATTCCTGGAAACATTCAAGAAGAAAATATTGAACAATCTCAATATCTGAGCAATTTCCCACAAAGTAGCATATAGCATTGGTTCAAGAGACCAGGTAATCTCGGAGAAAGATAATGCACAAAAGGTTATTCTGCATTTACTCAATAGCAAGTTTGACGGAAGACATGGAAGCAAAACAACATCATTTTTGTATATGACGAAATTTCAGTGAATGAACTCACTGTATACTTGAACACTGCAGCCATGAGCAAAACAGGTTTGTCCATTCCCCACATTTGAATAAGGGCATTGATTACTATTAAATTTGTTACCAGGAGCCTATAACTTATATCTTCAGAGTTCTTTCTTCTGGGTCCACAAGACGTGATTGTTATTTTCTTAAAGCACACACAAAATAATATTCCAAAACATTTTCAGTCCTTTTATATGTCCACTACAGATTCATCAATAAGGGCCAAAAAGCCAGAGCTCGGACAAGAGATAATCCTCCTTCAGTCCCTAACTATAGACCTCCTTTAGCTCTCCAAGACCATAGGGAAGGTAGGAAATAAAAATTTTGAACCATTTTTTCCAGGGAAGTAGCAGGCAACGAGGAGAAGCCCCACACATTCAGCCTCTCCTTGGGCACTCTTAGCTCGCTGCAGTCACTAGTCTTTATTTTCCCTTCCCTTTTTAGTATGCAATTGATTTCAATTACAAAAGAAACAAAGTTTGAAAAGGAAAAGCCACAATCGTACGTCAACAGGCCTCAAGAAGCAATGGCAATGGATGGGTAAGGAAAGGAAGGACCTAATACGTCTCCCATCCGACCACCATTCCTATTCTCTAGGTACTATCATGCTAAATCAAGGAACTTTTTTTTCATACTCATTGTTACATATATTGTGATGAATATGTAATTGGGGCATGTTAACTTAAAACCAAAGTCATGCTGCAAAGTCATATTACAAACATAATTTGAAAATTTTAACGTTCAATACTGTATGACGTTAAAACAATAGGACAGCTCTTTTAGAAAGGTGATGATCAAACCTTATAAGGTTCATGATTAGCTCCTGCACTAATTGTCAGAAGGAAAAATAATCCACATACTTACCCCATTTGTCACTCAAAACCCCAATTCCCATACTATTGGGGCTTACGCAGATCCCTGGTTCCCTCACCCTCATTCCCATAACCACAAGGTTTTACTATATTATTCGAGCTCCTGAACTGTTTCTGGTTTTACTCAAGTGATTGAACTATGCTTATGTAAAATGAAGAACTGTTCCATAAAAGTAACGGCTATAAACTTCACCATTGTAATCTTAAACGTACGAACAGTTCCTAAGAACTTCAACTGCTAAGACCTATTTACTTGTCTTTGGTTAAGTTCACTTTTAGGCAAATATTGTAGACTTTGAAAAAGAATACAAATGCAAGATTGCCAAGGACCTAAAGGAAAAGCCGCATGCCCACTGTTCTGCGAATATTTCCGCTAAAGATGTTGAACAGCGTGTCCTATTTTATCTAGGAGAAAAAGGTCAGCGAAAGTATCCTCACGTTTTTTCTAATAAGGTATCTTCAAGTTTCATATGAGGCATACCGGAGGGTGTTTCAACCACTTCCATTTTTCTGGACAAAGAAGACTATTTCACCCCACTATAAGGTAACTCAAATGAGCATACCAAATCAATGTAACAAACAGAAAAGTAGGGGTGTAGAACAATACTTTTTTACGTTTTGAATCCTTATAACATATCTCACTCCAAATCTTCCCATCAAAACTATGCTTATGAAGTTAACATAGTTTATAGTATGTTAACTTAAATTTGAACATAGAACAACTACTAACTAAAAGGAGCTCAAATCGTGTTGCGCCATTTTGTGAATATTTTAATGATCTTTCAAGGTAGAGTCTACTAATCAAAAAGGTGTCCTTGGCAAGCCAAAAACCAAGTTCCTACAAAAAGAAGCATACTAAATCCCGAGGGGAAAAGCCAGTTATTATCTAATTGACCAATATTGGTAATAAGATATGACAGATATATGTCAAAAATCAAGAGAAATACTTCAAAAGGAAAGGCACAATACGAAGCCTAGGTTAGAAATGACAGAAGAAAATTATCAAAATCATACAGGGCATGCAATTGGAAGAGTATTCGTACCTCTATTCGATTGTCTATTTGCAATGTTATAATTTCCAATATAATTCTCGGAGTCTTTAGCTGAAACATCTGTCGGATTTTCAAGTCCATATCCAAATGAACCAGAACCATCCGCATCAGAAGACACAGCTTGCCAAGTCGGATCACCATACATTGAGCCATAAGGTCCCTCATAAGAACCACTAGATGCAGCAAAACCTGCTGCATTGCTTCTTCCAAGTCCTCCAGATCCAAGCCCATAACTGTTTCCCGCACTCCTGAACCCAACAGTCTGACCAGTAGAATTACCAACTGGAGCAGAAGAGCCCCAATTGGCACCATTATTCCCAAAGACCCCATAAATACCAGTCCCAGAACCCAAAAATGAACCGGAGATACCAGGACTTGGAGAACGGTTAAGACCACCATTTCCCCATACATTCCTGGTTGGGGAGCTAAGAAAAGAATCAGCTCTACTGCTCCCTGTGCTATATCCAATGGGTGTAGCGTATCTGCTTGAGTTGCCGCTGAAATATGGGCTCAGAACCCGCCCATAACCAAGATTATTATTGTTAAAGTTGGAAGCTCCTGCAAAGGTGGGGCTCAAAGCTGGGTCCAAATTGGCACCCATTCCATAAGCAGGAGAAGAAAACTGAGAGACGCTTGTACGTCCGCTGGCAATTGGATTAAACCTACCGTCCATCCTGACCCCATATCCTCCAATCGAACCTAGACTATACCCTTGAGCATAGTTGTTGAGAAAGTTATTTGCTCTACCAAGTCCGTAGTTGTATCCGTTGAAAGGGCTCCGGTTGGGCCCTGGAGACATCTCTTTCGGAACGGCGCGCTTCACCTCAATCATTTTACCGTTTAGGTCGTGAAAGGTCTTATACAATGCCCTATCCACTGCATCCTCCGAATCATAAGTTATAAAACCAAAGCCTCTTGGCCTCTGAGTGTTGTGGTCATACATCACTACAACATCTGTAATTATACCAAACTGATCAAAGTATTTCTTGAAGTCACTCTCAGTAACAGTAGATGCTAAACCTCCAACAAATATCTTTTTTGTGCGTCCAGGACCCGGAGATCCTTGAATGCTGCTGCTGTTTCTATTTATTGTCTGTTGGTCATCCCTAGGAACAGCCTTCTTTGCCTCAACCTGAAAATAGGATGCCAATGAAGAATTTGGAGAAACAGAGATGATAATTCATTTGATCATAACTAGCACAATCCAGTATGAATTAATCTTGAACTGAAATTTTTCGGAAACATTTCGGGTAATACCATCAGTTATATGTAGTAAATTGTGAAAAGCAAACTTGCTGAATTTGTCACAAAAGACTTTACAATTTCTCAGAGTCCATGTTACCCTGGGAAAAAGAATAACACAATGGAAGCAAGAAATTCGTATAGGCAATACCAACAAGTTGAGATTTGGGTTTAGTCATATTCTTACTCTTAAGTTAAGCCAAATATAGATAGCAGGTACAAATATAGATAGCGAGAATTCATGCAGCCACAACCCAACTAACTAGGCATTGAGGTGTCATAGTTAATGTATAAACTTGCTGAATTATAATCAGACATGTAACGGGAAACTAACCGTTCTGCCATCGATGATGTGCTTCTCTTGAACAACTCTGTGAGCAACTGCATGATTGGCAAAGACAACAAAGCCAAAACCACGAGCACGACCCGTGTTGCGATCTCTCATGATCACAGCTTCCACCACCTCTCCATACGAACTGAAATATTCTTTAAGACGTTCCTCATCTGTGTCCCAAGATATCCCACCTATAAATAGCTTACCCATATCTGTCTCCATCATTTCTCCTATCACAATTACATCTACACAATTAATTGAATGCACAGAAAACAAAATCTAGGAAAATTAAAAATAAGCACACAGATCCAGATGTGGATAAGAAAAGTATTCTATAAACCTTTATCAAGAAAATACTGTTCTGTTGTTGGATTCAATCAGATCTTTGTACCATCAATCAATACTCAATAATCCACTGTCTCTGTAAATTCACAATTCAGATAGATCAGAGATTCATTAACAAAAGCTAAAAAAGATTATTTTTTTGAAATAAATAACACAAGTGTATGTAAGATGAAATGCAACATTTGGATACAAACCAGAGATCTAAGAGAAGGCATTAATTAATATAACAAAATGAAAACAGAGAATGTGGTTATCATCATCCTCTTCCTTTCACAGGTCCCTCTTTTCTTTTCATTACTCTCTTTGGTTATTCCAAAGCTTCTTTTATAAAAAATGGAAAATGGAAAATGGCAATGCGGAACAAATATAATGTTGGGTAGAAAAAAGAGAGAAATTATATATACAAGAAAGAAAGAAAGAAAGAAAGAGGGATAGAAGAGGATGTTGTGCGTGTATGGGTGAGGTAGCAAATCTTTTTGTTGGAAGAATATTTGGAGTGCACAACATGCCACACGACGACTACCCTTTTGTTTAACCCAAAAGCCTATTACTACCATTTACTCTTTTTTTTTATTTTCTACAACAAGTAGATGCTTTAGTTCATGTTAATATTGCAAATAAAATTATCATGAAAGAGAAAGAATATAACAAGTACTATTATTACTACTATGCCTAGTGTCAAACAAGTTGAGTCGGTTGTATGAATTCTTACTTTATTCTTTAAGCTCAACTCATAGCAACATTAAATAAAAATTAAATAAAATAAAAGTGAAAGTAAAAACAAACTTAAGTACATATAATAATAATAATAATAATTCTCTACTAAATTTAGAACATATCTCTGACTAGTAGGTATCATGCATATGGTAACCTAAAACAAATATTTTTGCTAACTAATATTGTAAATTTTCTGTCACTGTATGTTTTTTTTGTGTGTGTGTGATTACACTGTTTTCCTATTGATATGATGAGCAATTAAAAATGATGGTCTATCTACAAATAATAAAGACATTCTGCAAGTAAATCAACAATTATGGGGTTGTTTAATTCTCGGTCTAACTATGAAAGGATTATAATGCAATGAGTTTTTATGCTGTGAATACATTGTAAGAAATTATAATACAGTAAATAATAATAATATAGGAATTGTTATTATATTGGTGGAAAAGTAGATTTGCCAGGGGGACTAATGATATGCTGACAGGTAGCATAAGAGTGAAAACGATAAAGTCGAGCGAAGATTTGAGAAGGCATGAGTAAAACACCAACAGGATCGTCTACAAAAATATCGTACCTGACAGCTGAAAAAGAAGAGATAGGTGCGGGATGGATAATTAAAAACCACGAAGAAAGAAGGTTCACTAATAGTCACGAATATGAAAAGAAATTGGCATAATCCCTGACTATGCGCGATCGGCTATTATTACCATAACTGATACAAATTACTCATGTAACGGGGTAATCAATTTAATAAATATTAGTAACGGAAATTAAGTAGGGCAAAACAGTTACGTATTGTACCCTTATATAAACTCCCTTACCATATCTTGTACGATCATCAAGAAATTTACGAAATTATATTGTCAATTGCTTATTCCTTTACTCTCTTTTGTTTGAGGATCTCATTCTCTTCTTTTGGAAGGAAGCCGCGATTATCAACAAGATTTCTTTTTCCTTACTTTCTCGGTATTCTATTTTCATTATTTGCTATCCATCTATATTAGGAAATGTGAAATAAAATTGGTTATTAGAAATCCGAATTACTCTTTTATTTGTTTTGACCACAAAAACTATTTTTAGTTAATCAGTTATGTAATGACTAATATTGAAACAAATACAACCACATTTTACAGCCAAAAAAAAAAAATGAAACAGTGTCAAATGACCAAATGAAAGAGAATATTATGCGAAAAGAAGAAAGAAAGCTCAAAAAATGGAAGGATCAGGCAGCAGTAGCGGACGATTTTGGCGAGTTGAGCGTGTAAAAGGTCTAAGAAGAAGAGAGAAAAAGTTTTAAAAAAAAACTGAATAACGATTATAAAAGTTAATGTGCCCTAGTGGATGAATCTACATGGCAGAGCACTTCTTAAAAAATATTTAAGAAAATATTAGCAATCTTTGTTTATTACATATACGGAATTATTTTTTTTACACTAATACGTAGCATATTGTAAAATTAAGCAAATAATTAATAACCATGGGAAAAGGCACAAATCATGGGATCTTTGCCAAAGCACTCTCTCTCACATCGTCTTTTTCAAAAGAACCCAGATTTTCTCTTCTCTCTTCATTTTCTCCACCTCTAGTCTTATTTTCTCCAATCACTTGATCTAGCAGCGGGATTCCATTACAGTTACTGAGATTTCGCTCAATCATTCCACAATATTCGAAACATATGAAATGGGATTTTCGGATTTCGCTCAATCATTTAGAAAAATCATAGATTTTGCTCAATCATTCTGAAATTTCATAGAGATTTTGCTCCCCTCTTCTTATCCTTTCGCTCAATTGTTTGGGATTTTGCTTAATTTTGAAGAATATTCACAGAGATTTTGCCCATGATTTCATCCTTTCGCTCAATCAATCCCTCCAAAAAAAATCCACAAACCATAGAAATTATGTGCGTATANTTTTTCACGGAATATGAAACAATGGCAAAGTCAAAACAAGAAACGAAGCTACATCTGTCGAAGAACAATTTGGGTAGTAGTTTGAAATTGGATGTGTCGGCTGTTAAGGCTATTAGGGATACCTACTCTGATTCTACTTTAGAAAGTGATGAAAATTCATTACCTCTTACTCATCCCAGTTTTGAGTTGTTGCGTGAAACTCCTGCAAGGAATGCGAACCAGAGGCGGCTGCGAACATAGTGTTCACTTGAGCAAATTAGGCAGCAACGGGAGGAGTGTGTGGCAGATGTTTCTCAAAAAAATCCATATTCCACTCCAAAATTTTTTAATCAAGTTGCCAAAGAAAATGTTGCTGCATTGGATAAAAAGAAGCATATAAGGATAAGAAAGTTCAAGGAGAAGAAACGGCAAAAAGATGTAGAAGATGAGTTTGAGGATATACAATCCGAGTCTGTGAAGCTCAAAAAAAGAAGAAAGGTCGATGAGGCTAGAGAACAGACACTGAATCTGAAGGTATTGTATATTTGTATTACAATTTGATTCAACATTATTTATACTCTGTATATTTTATCGAACGTATTTGTAGCAGGTTTGTACTTAGCATGTATCTATATTGGTTATACTTCTATGTTGTTTATACTTGGAATATCTTAGTGTATTTCATGTTGGATATCTTTCTGTGTTGCTTCTAATTCGGCATAAAGTTTTATCAATATATATCTGTTTAATGTATAAAACAGTTATTGAATATTCAATCAATAATTTTTTTTTATATTATTACATTGCAGGTTTGGGATTTCTATTTCAAACCACAAGATCATTCTAAATTGAAGATTGGTACTAACAGCAATATTTGCATTGTTCAAACATTGATGAAATATCTGAGTTCGAGACAATTTGCAATGTTCAGAGAAACTTGTTTTGGGTACTTCCTTGATTTGCCTATTATAGCTATGCAACCCCGTTTGATTCACACTCTATTGTTGAGGGAGGTTGTTCACGATAATAGAGATGAACTGTGGCTCTCCTTGAATGGTATTAAAATACGTTTTGGTATTGGTGAGTTTGCACTCATTACTGGTCTAAAATGTACTGGTGTAGCGCATAAATGTTATGATGCCAATGAAAGTTGTAGTTTGATTGATCGATGTTTTCCAGGAAGTGAGAAGCTTAATAGTCAAGCTATAATTGATTGTTTTGAAGGAAAGAGATGGTCATCCGATCAGGATGCAGTGAAGATAGTTGTGTTGTACTTCATAAATTCATTTTTATTTTCATCATTTCGTGATAGTCCCGTCTCAATTGGTCAGTTTGAGTTGGTTGAGTCTGGTGAATTCGAGAATTACCCATGGGGTAAATTGGTTTTTCATGACACATAGCTCGCTGAAAAAAGCTTTTTGAGGGAAGAGGTTAAAAGAATATTCTAGGTTATATGGACTTCCATTGGCATTCCAAATATGGTTTTACGAATGTTGTCCTCGAGCTAAGGATTAAATTGTCGTGTTTGTTCAGCACAAAATCCCTCGCATACTTAGCTGGAAAGTGGTCAGTAATCCTAATTCAAATGAAGCGTCAAAGTTACTTTCACACTCTGCTTCTTGCTCACCTTCGTCGTGAACTTCACAGGTGATGTGTTGACATTCATAGATTCTTTGCTTTCAGACTTGGGTACGAACTTGCCCTACTTCCTGACTTCTTGCTTATCGTTACCTTTGCGAGGTTCATAGATGGACAACCTTTCATTTCCAGCGGAATCCATGCTCAATTCCATGTCATGGGCACGAGTTGCAAGTTCTTCAAATGTGCTAGGCTTGATACCTTGCAAGATGTAGCACAATCCCCAATGCATACATTGGATGCACATCTCTATGCCAGAAGCTTCACTAAGCCTGTCTTAACACTTGAGGGTTGCATTCCTCCAACGATTGATAAAATCGATAACTGGTTCACCCTTTCATTGACGAGTATTTGTGAGTTTCACCATGCTCACTGTGCGCCTTGTGCTATAAAATCGATTGAGGAACTCTTGCTCTAGTTGATCCCAGCTATCAATAGATCCCGCCTCGATGTCTGTATACCAATCAAAAGCATTTCCTTTTAACGAGCGGACAAACTGTTTGACGAGGTAATCTCCATAAGTCCCAGCGTTGTTGCATGTCTCAACGAAGTGCGCCACATGTTGCTTTGGATTGCCTTTACCATCAAACTGTTGAAATTTTGGAGGTTGATATCCAGCAGGCATCTTCAACATATCGATCCTTGCAATGTACGGCTTGGCATATGTAAAGGAGGACTTGGTAGCAACTTCATATTTATTCTTAATAGTTCCTTCAATGAACTCCTTCAGTTGATCGATGGGAATCATCCCTTCAGATGAGACAGGGATAGCCTTAGCGGATGCTACTTGTCTTGGGGGAGAATCAATCTCTGGAACTTCTGGGAGCTTGCCAGGTGCATGGGTGGATTCTTCTTCCATCAAGATTCCCACCCTGTCTGTTAGCTTGTCAATTCTAGCATCTTGATTTTGCATGCACTTGGTCAAGCCAGTGATTGCTTCCGTCAAGTTTGCCAACTGCTCTTCCACAAATGAAGTGTTTGTCACCATGACTTGCATGATTGTTGTAGATGATGGGGAGTAGCATATATTGTCACGCAGATTAATTCTCGAATAGCTCACACTATGCGGTGTAAGTGGGAAGGATCCATCACTTGAAGCATCATCATTTTCCATCACAACAGAGTTCTTGGATCCGGAGAGGTCAAGCAGAGCAAGAGTTTTCTTGATCTTTTCAGCAACATCGCTTCCTCCTTACAGTGCGTTTGTGGAAGATCTTGCACCTTTTGAGGATGAAGATCCGAAAACAGGGGTTGATGTAGACGACACTTGGAGTGCATGTTGTCCTAAAGAGCTTGCTTTGCACCTCATAACTGGTCCAAAGCTTTCAAAAGTAATATCGAGGATGCTTTCCACATCAGCATAGAACCTGGAATTAGCAGCCTTGACAGAAGTTGAACTTGAGTTGATTTTCTGTGAAACCATTTTAATGTTCTTGAACTTTGGTGATTGAAAAGTTGAGATGAGAGTTAGAGATTGTCCACTGGACGTGCCGGAATTTGTAGACAATAAATTGCGTCGAGAAAATAAAATCAAGGCCAAAAAATATTACAAAATCGTAGTATTTTATTTCAAATATTTGAGTGTTACAATCTTTATGGTTCCTCTGATTCTACTTTTCAATAGTAAATAAAAGAGCTTTCGAGCTCAATCTTGAATTTTATTTTATTTTAATCCAAGTGCTTGAGGCCTGATCTTGATCTTGACGTATTTTTAATCCAAGGGCTTGTAGCTTGTTCTTGAATCTTCATCTTGATCTTTTAATCCTTAGAGCACTTGAATGCTTGTAGCTTTTAGAGAAATTTGCAGTGTTTGATCCATGAGCTCCCTATTTCTTCTTGTTATAACTTCTGGTGTCTTTTCTGAGTTATGAAGACCCTTATTTATAATTGTGGGAGGAAAGAGTTATGATAAGAACAAACTCTTTCCGACTAATCAAATTGAAGTGTGACAAGACCGCATTTGATTGGCCAGAACATGTCACTTGCACACATGGTGCGATTTCATTGGCCCTTTAATTTGACTTGGCATGCCTTGTCATTTTGACACATGGCACAATCCTATTGGCTCTTCCGTTTGACTTGGCGCGCCACGTCATTTGACACGTGGCACCAAAGTAGGCCTCTAGGAAGATGGCATCTTGAGCTTAATGAAGTGAGCTCATCACTTTAGCCCAATTAAATAGGCTAGCCCAATGGATTAAGACGTATTTATTTAATCCATATATGTTAGATTTATATAGCGAATCCAATTATATTAGCCCAATAAATTTATTTGGACTAATATATTAAAACATAGTCCGTATTATTTTATCGATTTAAATTTGATAAAATTTAAATGCTTACACCGGGCAATAGTGGTATTCATACATGTGGTATTTTGTCACTAAGGGTGGTAAGTGGGCCGGTCCAGGCCCGGGACCGGCCCAGGACCGCGGGCCAAACGAGCCAGGACCGCTTGGCCCAGTTTTAGTGGGCATGGGCCAGTCTCGTGGGCCGGTCCTATGATTTGGGCCCGTCAGGCCCGGGATCATTTAGCCCGCCAGGGACCGGGACTGGACCGATCCCTTAGCGGGCTAATTTTTTTTAAAAAAAATATAGTCGTTGGGCTGTCAAAAATAGTCGTTGGCTATTTATAAAATAGCCATTTAACCCTCCTCCCCCAACTTTGTTTTAATCCCAAATTTTTTATAATTATACTTTTTTCCCTATTTTCAACTATAAATACCCCCTCATTTTTTCATTTTTTCTTACAAAATCATCAATCTATCAAAATCTCTCTCTAATTTTCTTCTATAATTGCTACTATTGCTTACTTTATTGTTACAATTTGTGAAACAATTGTGAAGTTAGTGAATCGAAGTCTTCAACGATAATCAATTTTTAACAAGTTGTTTGTCAATTCGGTAAACTCGTTCCAACTCTTAAGTTTTAATATTATAATTTTGTTTGTTTTATTTATTTTCTATTACTTTATTAATTAAGATGGATTCCTTAAAAAAACTTTTGGGTAAAAATAAGGGAAAATCCAAGAGTGACGAATCTAGTGCTCAATTTGTTCCTCCTCCACTGCATCGGGCTCCCCGAATCAAATTCCATATCCGTCCTACACCTGCTATTCTTGATAGCGATAATAGTTTATTATAATTTACTGAAAGTCAATTTTGCTATAATATTAGAGCTAGTGAACAATTAGACCATGAATTAATGAATGCTGTTTATTCTAATCCAACTATTGATGAAAATGATGACGAGGAAATAGATTTTGATGAAACTCAACCGGATGATGATACACCAACTAGTCATGCTCCTAATGTTAACCCAACTAGTGATAACCCTGCTAATCCAAATGATGCCCCATCAGATACTCATGTTACTACCAATACTTTTTCTAGACAACCTAGCAAACGGACGGAAACATCTCCCGTTTGGCCATTTTTTACTCAACTAATTCCAAAAAATAAGGTTAAGTGTAAAACTTGTGGCACGGGGTTAGTTTTTAAATATTTTGGATGGGGGAGGGGGAACTTTGGTTAGACACACAATAAAACACCCTCAAGATAGAGTGAGATATCTTCGTCTGAAAGCTTTGGCCGAGGGGAAAAATCTACCTACTCCTAGTCAGGTTGACCCTAGTACCGGTTCAAATCAATTTCAACCGGGAATTAATACTGTTACCGGTGGTATTTTATATTATGATCCAAAAAAAGATGGGAAGAATTGGCAAAAATGGTAACTGTTATGCGTTTACCCTATAGTTTTCCTTCTGACCCTAACTTTGTGCATTATATTAGAAATTTTTCTAATCCTCTTATAAAGGTTTTCCTCGCACAACCGTAAAGAGCGATATTTATAAATATAAACATGAATATGAACAATATTTGCGCTATTTATTTACTCATATAAATTGCCGTGTTGCTATTACAACTGATACTGGTAGAAGTGGTAACGAATGTGATTACCTTACTGTTACCAGTCATTGGATTGATGAGGATTGGATAATGCAAAAGCGCATTATTTCTTATAGAATAATTAATTCACATCACACAGGACAGTTTATTGCTAGCACAGTTATAAATATTTGTAGATATTTTTGCATTAGTGATAAAATAATGTAAATTTTAATGGATAATGCTACTAGTAACACAAATACTATAGCCTTGTTTACCACTATGCTAAATCCTACATTTAGTGATATTTTTCATGTTAGATGTATTTGTCATATCTACCATTTAATTGTGGGTGATGGTATGAGGATTTTAAATATTGAAATTGAAAAGGTTAAAATGGCTCTTAACTGACTTTTTTATTCAAACCGTAGAAGTAGACTTAGAGAATATTTTAAAAGATGCGATTAATTTGGCCTAAGAGAAAGAAAGGTTCATAAACCTTGTCCAACTAGATGGAATTACATGATGAAAGTTTGGTTATTGCATATGAATATATAAACCCCATAAACTCAACATTTAATGCACATGTAAGTGATGATGATGAGCACCTTACAAATAGGATTGAGCTAATGTTAAAATACTTGTAGATTTTTTAGAAAAATTTCATATTGCTACAAATGAATTTTCTGGGCAATATTATTCTACAATTTCTAACTGTTTAGTTTATATTGCAGAACTTGCAAATTTATTTGCTCATTTTTCAGAGGGTGGGGAAATTTATAAACTTGCTATTGATTCTATGAGAAAAAAGTATAAAAAATATTTTTTTCCCTATTCCCTCCATTTATGGTGTTTCTGCTTTATTAAATCCTTGTATGAAATTAGGAGGTCCTCATTTTTGGTATGAAACTGTTTATAATGGTTTAGCACTTGAAGATGAGGAATTGTCTCAACTTCCGGAAGCAATAGCCTCAATTAGAATAAATGCTCAAACTATTTTTAATACTTATCAAGTTGCATTAAATCATGCTAGACCAAATGTTCCAACTCCTTCTTCTTCTTCTGATTCTCAATCATCTAAAGGAACTGCGGGAGTAAGAGCACTTAGTGCTTGGGCGGGGTTTAGGGATTCTCAAGGTTTTAGTAGTAGTAATTTTTC